AGAAAGGTTGTGACTCCGAAACTAAAGTCAAGCAACAAAAACTATCATTCCATGATTTGGAGGAATGAACTCAAGACTGAGCCCTCCTTACATTGCTTCTCTGTCAAATCTACAGGTTAATGACATTCTTGAGACACCATTAGTGGTGCCCAAGTGGCTAAACAACACTGAGGCCGATCGAGAGAGGAATAAGTGATGACTGAAGCACTGAAGTGGCGGGATCTGGTGAGATGGATATATTAGGCAAAGATTATTGTTCAGAAGATGCCATAGGTTCCGCACAAAAAAAATTTCAATATGGACTTAATGATTTTCTATCTGTGCTTTTTAAAAATAACATGTGAATTAAATCGATGTCACCCATTAAAATTTATCATTATCCTGGAAAACATTAAATAATTTTTGGTATACACTAAAGTTGACAAAAGTCGTTAGCGATCAGGCAGAGTAGTATGCATGAAATGGCATGAAATTTGCACAGTGTTTGTTACAGCATTAAGCAGTGCTCAATTACAATGCCCAACTCAAATAAGTGTTTTCCTGCCCTAATATGTGCATGTGTGTATGTGTGTATGTGTGTGTGTGTGTGTGTGTATGTGTGTGTGTGTGTGTTATATATATATATATATATATATATATATATATATATATATATAAGTGAATGTTAAAAATCGTGTGCCCCAAAAAATCCTGGCCACATGTATTTACCGTATATACCTGTGTGTAGTTCGAGTTTTTAAGACCAAATTATTTGGCAAAAATTGGGGGTCGACCTCTAAACGGGTAATAGTTTCGTTAGGTTTAAAAATATTTACCAGTAACTACCAGTAAACAATGGACCAACACACCACCAGCTGTGAGTGTCGGTACAGTTGCCAGGGCAGATCTCTTGCGAGCCCAAAGTAGCCAAATCCATGGTATGGTAGCACAGGACGATGTAAAACAAAGTACAGTATTCATTTATTAAAGTTAATTTATAGATACTGGACATAAATTTTTGTTCATTACATTTGAAACATCAATCTTTGTTAATTAAATTTGAAACAAGAGAAAACTATGATACTGGATTTTCATTAAAATATTACATCACAAGTATATTTTACCTTAACTGTGACTGAATGAATATATTCTCGGAAATAAATATGGAAATGTAATATTTTTGCTGGAATGACGTACATATTATAGTGGGAAGTGGGATAAAATCATGACGAAAGACTTTCGCTTTCTTTCGTTGTTCAAAATATTTTACCGTAATCGCTTTTCGAATGGTTTTCAGTTAAAAAACTGTTGTACTCGTACTGTATTACAATAATATTCTATCCTATCATTAGCCTTATAATCCCACAACTGAAAACCATTCGAAAAGCGATTACGGTAACATCTTTTGAACGAAAGAAAGCGAAAGTCATTGCTTTCGTCACTTTCCACTGTAATACGTACATCATTTCAGCAAAAATATTACATTTCCATGTTCTCAGAAATAAATGGTAGTTTTGTTGAAACGTAATGTACAGTATTTAACATTAAAATGCAAAAATAGCTATAAAAACAATTAATACACCCGTAATGTACTGGCTGGCATCTCCACTCGTCCCTGCTCCCGCCAGTCACCTCCTCCCCGCTCTATCCCTCCGCCTCCTCCCCGCTCTATCCCTCCGCCTCCTCCACATCGTCACTACTGTTGTATTACAATAATATTCTATCCTAATTGACTTGAATAAATACTACGATACCATATTTCTGAATATTTTCATTAAAATCCATCCAAATCATTTTCCTTGCCATCGTCTGCAGCACCAAACAGCTTCTCCCAGTCCTCTCCTTGAACAGGGCTAGAGGGTACGTGTTTTTCAAATCGTTTTCAGTTAAAAAACTGTTACATCACATGTATATTTTACCTAAACTGCGCCTGAATGAATATATTCTCAGAAATAAATAGTAGTTTTGCTGAAACGTGATGAATTTTAATGTAAAATAGGATAAAATACATGACGAAAACAAAAGACTTTACCTAACCTTCCAATGTTCAAGAGATGTTACTCATTTTTTTAATAGTTTTCGGTTAAAATACTGTTATATTACAATGATATTCTATTCATACTGTGCTTGATATAATACATTCACGGAAATGTAATATTTTTGCTGAAATGACGTACGTATTACAGTGGAAAATGGGATAAAATCGTGACGAAAACAATGACTCGCTTTCTTTCGTTCAAAAGATGTTACTGTAATCGCTTTTCGAATGGTTTTCAGTTAAAAAACTGTTGCTTCACAAGTGAATTAGGATAGATTATTATTGTAATACTGTGAGGGCGCGTGTTCCCACAGGATCTACACCACCCTCATCTTACTTACTTCTCTTAGTTCTTACTCTTACTCAGTTCTGTCACCTATTCTTTTGGTAGCATGGACATTCTTTTGGTAGCATGGTCATCCTTTTGGTAGCATGGTCATTCTTTTGGTAGCATGGTCATTCTTTTGGTAGCATGGTCATTCTTTTGGTAGCATGGTCATTCTTTTGGTAGCATGGTCATTCTTTTGGTAGCATGGTCATTCTTTTGGTAATTCTGGTATCAAGTCCCTTGGACGGAAATAAAGGTAAAAATACTGTGGGAGAAATGAATACACTTAAAGTACTCTAAAAACAAATTTATTAATAGGAAATCAAAGGGGAAAAGATATATTATTAATCATATAACTGCGAGGCTCAACTCCCTGGCTTAGTGCAGACTCAGTACTTTCTTCTTTACTTAATTTTTTATTTACTTATTTCCTTACTCAACAGTAATTACTCAGATCTTACATTCTTACTGCACACAACATTACTGGTGTTACATTACATGGCATAGTAGGACCAGTTCCTTGGCCCTACTCACAATACATAGTACATGGCACTCATTGTAGATTACTTTACTCAACATACTCATTAATAATTAAATCAGCAGATACCTGGGGTCCACTACCCAACATGGGATAATTATTTCCAACTAATTATCCCTAACATACATCTTACAACACCCTCTGTTGACATATACTTCCAAGGAGTAACCCAGGGTAGAGCACTGGGGCTCACGACCGTTGTTATTGTGTGGTAGCCAGACGCGAATCTGGGGTCTGGCCCAACGAAGCAGTGAAGCACATTAATCAGGCCGCATCGGTGCCATCGTTTCATATATGGTCCCTTCTGGGTATCTACTACATCTGGGGCCATTGTTGAACGATGCAAGAATCACAATGGGATCTGGAGAAACATTGGAGCAGCGTCAGGGAGCGGTCTGGGAAGCATGACAGCACAAAGAACTCTCTTGTCTAGACGACAGACGTATTTACGTTATATTACTTCTACACTGGGTGAATGACAATTCAACTGTTAAATCATGAACACTGGTGAACACTGATATTCACTACAATTGACTGAATTAACTGAATGGCTACACATAAACATACCTGGAGAAACATTGGAGCAGCGTCAGGGAGCGCTCTCCCTGGCGATGCACGGGTATAAATACCCGAGTTGCCAGTGATCGCTACTCACGCAATGACAGTAATCACAAACAAGCTAACTGTTACTCATTCAAAGATGACCCTCAGTTGACAAAGGTCTGGCGAATTACTTGAGTTGATATACACAGACTAATTCAAGATTGAGCTTCCCAGGAGAAAGTGGAATAACAACGCATTGATAACTGTCTTCACAAAGGCGGGACTCTGGGAGGGAACACAAGTGTAGCGTCTATGGGGAAAAAAACACGTCTTCTAAGGGGTCGCTAACTCACTCATTTTTTTACGGTCGTGGAGTTTAATAAGAATCATTAGTTAAATAGATCAGTAGTCAACGTGACCATGACAATACAACAGTTTTTTAATTGAAAACCATTCGAAAAGCGATTACTGTAACATCTTTTGCACGAAAGAAAGAGAAAGTCATTGCTTTCGTCACTTTCCACTGTAATACGTACGCCATTTCAGTAAAAATATTACATTTCCATATTCTCAGAAATAAATAGTAGTTTTGCTGAAACTTAATGTATTTCAATGTAAATTAAGATAAACTACATGAAAACAAAAGACTTTACCTAACCTTCCGATGTTCAAGATATGTTACTCGTTTTTTTTAATAGTTTTCAGTTAAAATACTGTTATATTAGTGATGTTCTATTCATACTGTGCTTGATATAATACTTTTACGGAAATGAAATATTTTTGCAACTACAATGCTGATGTCAACACAAGCGTGGTTACAGCGAGACTGATTGAGTGAGGGAGCGCGGGGGTGGGGTGACGACGCGCTATGCGTGTGTGTGTGAGGTAGCGGGAGCGGGCGGTGTGCAGTGCTCGGTGCCGCGCGCGATTTGAATATACTTCAATTACTTCAATGTACAGAATATTCCTCCGGCGGGGCAATCCGCGTATTTGTGAATCCGTGAATGCTAAACCCGCTTTTGTGGAGGGCCGTGTGTGTGTAAGGGCGATTTAGGGGAATTTTAGGAGTGTTTCTGACTTTAGGTGTTTTTGGCTTTACTTTGTATGTACTTTTCTGTGAGCTGGAACCAATTACTCAATATCCCATTGAAATAATGGATTCGGTTAACGAACGACTCTGGAATGAATTGTGTTCGTTAACCGAGGGACCACTGTATACAGCTACTCCTCGACTTATGACATACTTGACCTATGACCACCCGGACATATGATCGCCTCAGTCGTACCAAAATTTTGTCAAATTACATATTTTTGAGTCCCAACGTTAGTGATTGTGCTGTGTACTGACAAAATTTTCGTTTGTAATTCACTTTAGAATGGCTGGCATGGTTAAAAGTGAGAGTTTTGTGGTGCTGAGAAGAAAAAGAGACACCCATTTTCGATTTTCTATGTATTATTTAAGCATTTTCGACTTACAACCAATTCGACTTACGACCTGGATTTGGGTCCCTAACCCAGTCGTAAGTCGATGAGCAGCTGTATATATCTTTTATTCATTTTTTTTCTTTTTACAGGGGCTTTACATATTACAAAATGAATAACCTGGATAATAGAATCAGCAATGCGGATCAGCTTTTGACTCAGGATGTAGAGAAGTTTTGCGACTCGGTGGTTGAGTTGTATTCCAATATTAGCAAGCCAGTATTGGATATTTTGATATATGTGCAGAAACTGACTCAAGCTATTGGTGCTCAGGTAAGTTGAAAATTAATTAATATGAACCATAGTTTGGTATCTCTTGTGTGTACTGTTACAGATGGATTTCATAATGTACCCCCGGAATTTTGAGCTGTACCCCTACTCATTAAAAATTTAGTTCCAAAAGAGGTGTTTGGAAAAGTAAACATTGAATATGAAAAAAGAAGAACAACTTCTTTGATTGAAGGTTTTATGACATTCTTAAAAGAGAAGGAGGGAGTTTGGAAATAAATGTAAGATTTGCATGCAGGTAGTACAAATGGAAACCAAAGAAGTAAAGTGAGGGTTTTAAATAAGAAGGTCAAGGAAGAGTGGATGAGGATGAACACTTTTATGAACCAGTGACAAATCTTTTGCCATTTAAAAAACTCTCATACAGATTATGAAACTTACAATATTGCAATAAAAATTTCACTAACAATCCATTTATTTTAAGAATTTTTTTCGCGGGTCTTGAAATTGATGCCAAAATTTCCCATTTTCTTCTAGGGTTAGTGGGGTGAGTGTGTGAGGTATGAGAAGCATACAGTACTTGGAGAATGATGTGCAATGAAACATCCCAGAAAATATAATGAAATTACTGAAGATAGTGTGAATATTATGAAAATGCTATGCAGTAAATAGCATTATGCTTTAAAGCTCTTTGTATAAATGTTGACAGAGGTTGCATTAGGAGATTAGTCATGGTTATTGAAGTTGGGTCTCCTGGGTCTAAACCAGAGGTTCCCAATCATTTTCTGTGTGATCCGATCTGGTGCTGTCACCTATGCAGTGCAACCCCAAGTCATTTTATTTATATTTAGAATAAAATGGACATATTTAGATATACATTTAATTGTAAAAACAAATTAGGAAATTGTATTACATAATTGATATCTAAAAGTAAACACTGGCAGAAACCCGTCACAACTCTGTCATGTTTTATATCTGGGGCTATAATTATGTGTTTAGGCAACATAATATAGAATTTTCTTAGCTCCAACTTTGTTTTATTTTGTATGTGACATAAGTGCATCATCATTTAATTATTTTTCAATACATACATTAAAACCCCCTGAATTCAAAATATAGGGGCTCCATCCCTTACAAATCATGAGACACACCTCCCGAGAGAAAAACTAACAAAACAACGGTACTTTTCTGTTATCTGCTTCAATCAGAATTTAAATGGTTCTAAGTATACAGTACTGTACCAGATTTAGGGTTATCAGATGTTCTTCCATCATTGCCCAGTGTTTGAGCCATTACAAGTGGAAAAAACTTGCACAGTAGATCATAGATGTGCACTAACCAGCATGAACTGACTGTAACCGACACGCTTATACTTGTTACACCGAGATGGATGGTTGCATCCAATGGCAACTTGTGCGTCATACATATTCGTAAATGTCTCATAATTGGAAATTTTACCATATAATGCATCTTGCGGGTCGCGACACCATGTTTGGGAACCGCTGGTCTAAACCAATTAGTTAGTGAGTACCTGTACATTTACCAGGTGTAGATCCAGAGGGGATCCTCGGGGTCCGGGTCCCCTCCTTTCATCAGAAAATTCCAGTACTTTTTCTTTAATACAGTACAGGGTATTGTATTCAGGCATTATTGTATAGTAAAAACTAATTACTATTGGCCTCAGAATATCTCCTAATATCAAGTGTACACGGCTTGAACATGGCCTCAAACTGCCCATGATAGTGATCAGATTTAAAAAAAAAAATTGAGGGTGGCTTACAGCTGTACTCACCATGTTTCCCCCACCCACAACTGGATCCACACCCTGTTTACTCAAAGTGTCTAGTTCCAGGCTCAGCCAGGTATGGGATTTTAGAATCTACCCATTATTATTTTTTTCATGATTTGGGATACTGTACCAATCTTTACTTAATACAAGTTCTATGTTATTTATTACTTATATTTGTTACCTTGCATTATTTCATTTTAGTCTTTTAAGCCTTTAATTCAGTGACATATAACCTGAGCTGTTGCGTCGCCAGGGATGAAATTACCCAATCAATCAATCAATTAATTAATTAATTAGGTCTATCTTCCTGAATGAAATTACTTTAGTATGAAATAAAAAATATACTTTTGTATTGTATTTCTATTCACCACATCAGTTATATGCCTAAGATTGTTTACTGTGTATGTGCATCCTAGAAAGTATGTTTTATTACTGTATTTATACTAAAATAATTTTGTAAATACATGCAGGCTCCTGGTGTGATGATCCTTTATCTCCTCATCTCTGGAAGTCTCTTGACCCATTTGCGCCGTCCCATCAGTCGGTTAACGGTAACAGAGCAGCGACTTGAAGGAGAGCTTCGGTTTGTCAACTCTCGACTCATTACCAATTCTGAAGAAATTGCATTTTACCAAGGAAATGAACGAGAAAAGAAGAATATTGATTCTTCGTTCAACAGACTTGTAAGCACTTTTAGTGGTTTTTGTATTAACAGTTTTAAGTCTTTATTATGTAGTATTGAATATTGATCCTATTCTGTCAACACCCATTTCTGTAATCATCCAAAGATTCATGGATTTTTCTTCCATAAATTTGGAGTTTTTGCTTGTATAACAAAGCACAGGAAAACATTACAAACAACAGAAGTTACTCATTATGAAGGACAGGTCCCTGGGTTAGCAAAAGAACGGTACCAGTGCAGTGAATCCTAATCAGTGGAGAGGTGCAAATTTCAGGAGGATTTTGTGGTCCTATGTAACTTAGACACAACTTCTGAAATTAACTTGACGGGAAAATTATGTGTATCAGTAGAAATATGTTGTGCATAGTTCCCATTTATAAATGCTATTTCATATACCATATACAGTAAAACTTCAATAAATCGGACTTCAATATATCGGAATTTGCTTTTTTCGGATTCTGAGATGCTCTGGTCACCAGTAATACTAAAAAAAAAGGGGGGGGGGGAGATTAATTAAAACAACTCGTATGAAATGAACAACACTTACTGAATACTGTACAGTAGTCTAATTAGATTTGCTTTAGGCCTACTGAGAACTAAGACACTTGAGTATGTAAATAGGCTGCGGCTGATCAGGTGTTGCCGCATTCGTCAGGTTTATTTGTTGATTCATTATTATATTCTAATATGATTGGCCTCTTATGGTTTATGGTTCATCAATATTAATATAACATCTTCAGTAATAGAGAAATAACACAATACTGTATGTAATTTGTAATATGACTTGAAAATAAAAGGATAAGCTTTATCAGAAGGTTATTCACTCAAGATGCATTCGTGTGACAGTTTTCTGCAGACCAGCTTACAACTGGGATCACTATAACACACTGAATAGTAATTTATATGAAGATACCTTCTTAAAAATGTTATTTACTCTCTGTGAGTGTTAAATGATGACTCAGTTTGGCTACTTGTACACTCAGACATATGATTAATAAATAAACCAGGGTATATGCAGATGCATAATACTTTACATTACAATATTACTTATAAAGTGATGATAAATACACTGCAATAGTATTTACCGTATATACTCGTGTATAGTTCTAGTTTTTAAGACCAAATTTTTAGGCAAAAAATTGGGGGTCGTCCTATACATGCGTAATAGTTTTGTTAGGTTGAACCCGTGCATGATGGGAAGGGCGAGGAGCAACTTTTAGCTTCAGACACGAAAAATATTTACCATTTACTGCCAGTAAACAATGGAAACGTAAAATATGTACCAATTAGTAATGAAAAGTTGTGCAGTTCCTTCAGTAAATGAAGCTCACCAACTTACAATAGGCTAAATTACCTTACAACGTGCTTTCAGTAGTCTATGTTGAAGTTCTTAGCACAGGCTAACTTATCATATCATATACGGTATCACAGTTCTCATTGATCTACAAAAAATACCGGTATTAAAATCCTTTTCGATATTTCACACTTAATATAATACCCGGTAATCTACTTCAACCTCCTATTGTTTACAACGACGCATGACGCATCACGCACCACCAGCTGTATCAGCTAGACGGTACACGTGTTTTTTGAATCGTTTTCAGTTAAAAAACTGTTACATCACACGTATATTTTACCTAAACTGCGCCTGAATGAATATATTCTCGGAAATAAATAGTGGTTTTGCTGAAACGTGATGTATTTTAGTGTAAAATAGGATAAAATACATGACGAAAACAAAAGGTTTTACCTAACCTTCCGATGTTCAAGAGAAGTTACTCGTTTTTTTAATAGTTTTTGGTTAAAATATTGTTATATTACAATGGTATTCTATTCATACTGTGCTTGATATAATGCATTCACGGAAATGTAATATTTTTGCTGAAATGACGTACGTATTACGGTGGAAAGTAGGATAAAATCGTGACGAAAGCAATGACTTTCGCTTTCTTTCGTTCAAAAGATGTTACCGTAATCGCTTTTCGAATGGTTTTCAGTTAAAAAACTGTTGTATTACGATAATATTCTATCGTGATTGACTTGAATAAATACTACGATACCATATTTCTGAATATTTTCATTAAAATCCATCAAAATCATTTTCCTTGTCATCGTCTGCAGCACCAAACAGCTTCTCCCAGTCCTCTCCTTGAACAGGGCTACAGGGTACGTGTTTTTCGAATCGTTTTCAGTTAAAAAACTGTTACATCACACGTATATTTTACCTAAACTGCGCCTGAATGAATATATTCTCGGAAATAAATAGTAGTTTTGCTGAAACGTGATGTATTTCAATGTAAAACAGGATAAAATACATGACGAAAACAAAAGACTTTACCTAAGCTTCTGTTCTTGAGATGTTACTCGTTTTTTTAATAGTTTTTGGTTAAAATTCTGTTATATTACAATGATGTTCTATTCATACTGTGCTTGATATAATACATTCATGGAAATGTAATATTTTTGCTGAAATTACGTGCGTATTGCAATGGAAAGTGGGATAAAATCGTGACGAAAGCAATGACTTTCGCTTTCTTTCGTTCAAAAGATGTTACCGTAATCGCTTTTCGAATGGTTTAGTTAAAAAACTGTTGTATTACAATAATATTCCCTCCTAATTGACTTGAATAAATACTTGAATGGAAATATACACTATTTTTGTTGAAACTACCCGCATTTCAGTGTAAAGTGTCGTAATAATAAATGGTAAACAATTTGCCTTCGGCACTCATGTTTCATGCACGGCGAGCCTCAGTTTATAGGACGTAGAGCGTTTTTAGTGAAGGTTTTGTTGTGCCATTACCCTCAAAAACGTGGGTCGAACTATAAACGAGGAATATCGTAAATTAACGATTTCTTGGTCAAAAAATCAGGGTCGACCTATAAACGAGGGGGGTTATAGACGAGTATATACGGTATTAAGTGCTGATAAATACACATACTAATTTACTAAGTGTTGAAGACAGACATTGTGGTAAGCCGATCAGTTGTTTGCTCGGTAAATTTATAGAAAAGCACCGTTCTTTCTTTGGATATTAAATATATGTTTTTCCTGTGGTTTTTGATGAGTTTCGAACAAATTTGATATTCATTTCCGCCGGAAATTACTAATTTTTTAGATCCCCCCTCCCCCCCCAACAAAGGAAGGTATTGGGAAAATGGGAGGTTTTTGTTGGGTAAATCACAGAAACGGGTGATTTCCAATGGAGAACCAGGCAAAAATCTTACAAAACTCCTCAATAACCATAGGAAAAATCATATTTCTAATACTGAAAGACATGTAACCTAACTTAACCTATCCCTTTTTTCAGTGTAAAAAGCCATAAAAAAAAAATAACCACTCAACCTAATCTAACCAGGGGGGCTTTGGATCACCCTTTGTTCATGCCCCCACATCTTACCTTAATCTGAAGAAGAATAAGGCCAAATGTGTTGCTCTTCACGCAGTGTACACTGATTATAATTACACTTTGGACAAATAACTTTGTTCGGTAATACAGTACACCGTGTTTTCTAAAAAATGAAATGGCCTCAGTATTTTTCTGATGAAACTCGGCAATTGACGTAAAATAATCTTTATCACAATGCCGGCACAATCTTCAACCTGTTCAGCCATATCTGGTACAGTAAAGCCTCGAATAATGACATTAATGTGTCCTCCAATATTGCAGTGTAAGATGAATCATCGTATTGCGAATCATTAATTACCATTAAAATAAAGCAATAATAATGAGATACATTCCCACGTGTGACCTTTTCATATCTTTTGTGTGGATTTTTACCCTCTTTTCCCCCCAAAACAATACAATTAATGAAAATTGCAAACTATATTCTTTAAATAATGTTTCTGAATGCACCTTATACAATATAAATGAATAATAATATGGTCACACAAGAGGAGATGGGACGCCACTGTTTTCGTTTGTGTTTACAGCCGGGAGTCCAGGATGATAGTTCTACACGAGAAATTGAAGAAAATAAGACCCTGGTTGTAGCTGTAGTAAAATTAATGTTAAAAAATTAATATATATGTTTTAAGTAACGTTATTTAATGTTAATAAATGGAACAATAGAACTAGCTAACCACTAATGGCAAAGAAAAAAAATGAGATGGATTGGGAAAGTTAACATATACCTGAGCACTTAAGGATACCACATCATTTATCTTTTTAAGAATATGTACAAAAGATTCACTATTGTTTATTACTGAATATGTATTTGATCGAATTAATCTTTATATTGAACTGAACAATACAATTCATAAATTATAAGTAGAACATGAAAACACACAAGAGGATAAGAGACGGCATTGTTGTCAATGTTTACACCCATAATGTCAGTTATCCACCTGAAACTGAAGAAAATAAGACCCTGGTTGTTGTTGTCATAAAATTAATGTAAAAAAATATGTATGTTTTAATTAATGTTATTTAATGTACAGTAGAAGTAACCACTGATATTAAAGAAAAAGTGAGACTGATAGTGGAACACCAATGTATATGTGCGCACTCAAGTAAACATAGTCATTTATCTTAAGAATACGTACAAAAGATTCAATATTGTTTATTACTGAATTCCGTATTTCTCGGCGTACAAGCTCCCGCAACGTATTAGCCGACCCCCAAATATTTAGCTGAAATATCAGTTCTAGGCTGATGTCGTGTGTATAAGCCGACCCCCAAACTCGAATCATTATGAGCATCAAACAACTCTGCAGCTGCAAGAAAATTTGGCATTAATGAGAAGCAGGTTCGAGAGTGGAAGAAGGCTGAAGAGAAGTTAATAGACATCCCCAGAACAAAATGTGCCCTGAGAAGAGGTAAACAACAGTGGCCAGAACTGGAGGAGAAATTATTTGAGTGAGTCTACGAGAACCGAGAGAGTGGGTACGTCATCACCAGGAACGCCATATGTATTTACGCAATGAAGCGTAAATAGATTCTTGGAATGTCATAAAAACAGAAACAGTAGTAAAATCATTAAAAAAATGTTGCATATCCAATTCTCTGGATGGTGAGGAGGATGATGTGGTGTGGGAAGATGACGATGAAACCGAAGCCGCAGCCGAGTCGGAGGACTGGGATTCACCAGAAGGAGCCACTAGTTCAGAGAAAGATTTTGAAGGATTCTAAGCCATTTCAATTATATATTGGATTTTAAAATTGTTACTGATATCTTTTTTTTATCTATGTCTTAAATAAAGAATTTGTATTTCAACACTTTCATTTACACTAATGTCCTTGGGGTGAATAACAGGTGACCAAGCCACCACGCAGTAATAGTGAGTTGTTAAAGAACAGTCGTGTCATGTCGCTGTTGTAGTATTTCTATTATTTTAGTATTTTAGGCCATTTCAGTTCATGTCTTTATAATAACAAAGTTGTATTTCAAAGTTTTATATATGGCTTCTCAGAAAGAGAATAACAACTGATTGGGCAATCACATTGAAGTTTATGAGTAGTAAATAGTGTGTCTCGCTGCTATGTACCAGAAATTTTTAAAGGTTCATGATCTAGATCTGCTGTATAAGTCGACCTCATGATTTTGGGGGCTTGCAACCTCGGCTTATATGCTGAGAAATACAATATTTATTTAATTGAATTAATGTTTATATACTGTAAGTGAAATGAACAATGCAATTCATTAATAATACGTAGAATATTAAAACACGCACGAGGAGACAAGACTGCATTGTTTTCGTGAGTGACGATGGTTCTACTGTACATAAGAAACTAAAGAAAATATGACCCTGGTTTTAACTGTAGTGAACTTAATTAAAAAAAAAATTGAATACCTGTATGTATGTTTTAAGTAATGTTATTTAATGTTATTAAATGGAACACTAGAAGTAGCTAACCACTAATGGTAAAGAAATAAAGCGAGACGATTGGGAACGCCAACGTATGAACAGTAAGTGCGTACATATGAAAACATATCGTCATTTCTCTATACTGTATATGAATATGAAAGCAACACTTCTTTGCTGTTCATATATATGTTTTCAATAATATTTACGAATGTAAAACAAAAATTCTACTCACCAATGGTGGTAAAGTCTAAAACATAAGGACAGCCAATGAATATTGTGCAAGTTTTTACTCAGATGACAAAGTCATCAGGTTCAACTCTGGCTGAAGCTGTAGGTTCAACACTGGCTGAAACTGTAGCTTTCCATGAAGCTGTTGCTGAAACTGTTAATGAACCTGATGTTGAAGCTGCTTATGATGCTGAATTTGATGGTGTAGCTGAAGTTGATGGTTTAGGCCTTCGAATAATAAAGCTGTCGAAAGAACCTTACACAGCTGCTTTCTTTTCTTATTAACATCTTTATGTAGAGGTCATTTGCGTTTATTTAAATTTTAAAGCTTTGTTCTGTTAATGGATCCACTTCAGAAAATATGTTCATTGCTTGCTCCATATAATATCCAAAGACCTCGCACCTTTTTCATATCGTTTTAACACCTAGTTTCTCGGCTAGGCTTATACACTTTCTATTAGCTTTTGAAACCACACTACCATCACTTGCTCTTTTGCTCATGTTGAATAGGGATGCAAAAATTCTGTAAGAAACCTGATAAAGTTTTTCTCCTGTTCCTGTTCCAGATGCGTGAAAACATAAGGCCCGCCAAGCTCCGACTATTGTTTACCACTCATTAGCAAGGCAGCTTCTTTGCGCAAGGCACTTTAAATTTTTTTTTATATAATACATATCGGGATTTAGTTATTATTTATATGAAAATGTAATTTTATTTTATTTTTATTACATTTTGGTCGTAAATACGAATGAAATAAGGACGTAAATTGAATTGGGTCCTAAATTAACTAAAGTTTTAAATATGAAAAGTTATTGGTCAAACTGTTGTTATCGGAGGCCTTGCTGTATAGGCATAAAATGTGAATTATATTAAGATACAAAACTATCTTTTGCTGCATAGTCAAATAGGGATGGCGGAGGAGGGAGGGAGTGCTGTTTAGGCCTCGCCTGTCACCCGTCACCCTGCAATCCCTTTATGATGACAGTGTGCAATTTCGCCATAGTTCCCTTTTTATTTAGGTTCATTGGTGCTGGGTTAATAAAACATTATTGAAAAATAATTAAATATCCCCCAAAAGCCCACACTCAATCCCGGATGAGCTATTATGCCGGAGTATATTCCCGGTCTCTTGTTTACAGAGTGGTATCACCTGATCGTTCTTGCTGTCCCTAACAATGTTGCCAGCACTGACCATCTCTCAAGTACCGGATTTGTCGGTAATTCAAGCGACCTAGAGCCCCTGCTTTGTCGAATTAATGAGGATATAGTGTAATTACGAATAGAATATTTTATGTGGTAGCCAAGGCATGGTAACTGAGTATGTTTGTTGGTTGGAATAATGAGGAACAATCTAAAGAAAATAAATAGAAAACTAACAAATAATTGAATACAAAGATTCGGAACTATCGAATATACTGTAGTAACATCTAAATATTATGAATTTGGTTAATGTTAAATTTTTTGTAAATTAAATAACCGAGTTTGTAATTTTTTTACCATAAGGTACCCAAGTTCATTATTGTTTCTTTAACGGACCTGAGTCGGTAATACGTATATGAACCTTGTCTTAACAGGTCATTGTCCATTAAAGTCGAGTTCCGTTAGAGACAGTGTCCGTTATATCAGTGTTTACTGTATTTGTGTGTGTGTGTGTGTGTGCGCACGCGTGCGCACACAGGTTGATGTAATGTATCTAGTGCGGCAGCATTAAGTAAATGTTAAGTTGCAGACACTGCTTGCTTCCTCTCGCTTTCAACTACTGCCGCTAGCTAGCCCTTGTGGTGAACAGGGAAGCAACTTGCATAAGCCTTCCCCTGCTAGTACACAACCTCTTCACCATCAAGACTCCTGCTGTGCCTCCTCGTGAAGGAAAGAGATAAACAAATTACAGCTTTTAAGGAGCGTTTCCCCTAACCCCTGCCATTTCCTTTATTTCTTATGGGATAATGAAGTTTGATTTACACTATTTATTTACATGGCTATTCTCAAGACCATAACTACCATGTAAATTGAGAGGTTGTCCACTGTAAATGCCTTTTGAGCGTTTAAAGGTTAATCAAACTCTTCACGCTGAACTCGAACGTTATAATTCGGTCAAACCTGTTGAATACAATTCATTCTTAGGATTTCAAATAAATCATACATAGGCTATCATACATAAATGTTTAATCCATTATATATTCACATAACAATCATAGCTATATACTTAGTCTAGTCTTAACACTTATAATATATATACTGTATATATATATATATATATATATATATATATATATATATATATATATATATATATATATATATATATATATATATATATATATATATATATATATATATATATATATATATATATATAATGTCATTATTGATGTCGTAGAGCATTATGCACTGTAGGTACAAACTGTCGGTTAAAAAAAAGCAAAGTACTGTACTGTAAAACTTACTGAAGAAGCTTTTCCACAGGTTAATCATCTACGTTGCTTCATTTCCTTCCGGTTCAACATGGGATTCATTGACAACATCATTGCCAAGTGTGAGTATTCATTGTTTGTATTTTGTTTGGGATTATTTGCATATATTTGTATGTGAGTGTCACATCACTTCCTTTGGGAGCTCCCATGTAACAATTTGGCCATGAAAGGAGAGCCTCCAGGCTATCTATTACCTCTTATGATGTAGGCTGTTTCCCACTACCCAGTGTACTTGTTACATTACCACTGTACACCCCTTTTACCATTTTATCCTTCCACATCCTTCTCACATAGGACTATATACACTGTCTCAAACAATCTTTTTTTTTTTCCTTTAACATATTAATACAGCGAACTCTCGAAGATCCAAACCCTGTAAATCCGATTTCAAAATATTCAGACAAAAATTTTGGGGGTTCTTGGCTAAGAAGCCTACCTAAGAAGCATTCCCAAAACAGGGTGAAGGTAGTTTTAGGCTTAAGGTTTTGATCTGATAAAATGTCACATACTAAACTTAGCAAAATTTAACTTGCATTACTGGATTCCTTGTAAGATAGTGTTGAATGTTGTTGGTGGTCGTGCTGAGTGTTGTTGGTGGTGGTTGTGTTGAGTGTTGTTGTTGGTGGTGGTGGTGAGTGTTGTTGGTGGTGGTGGTGTTGAGTGTTGTTGGTGGTGGTAGTGGTGGTGGTGGTGGTGGTGGTGGTGTTGAGTGTTGTTGTTGGTGGTGGTGTTGAGTGTTGTTGTTGGTGGTGGTGGTGAGTGTTGGTGTGTTGGTATTGTTGTTGTGGTGGTGGTGGTGGTGGTGAGTGTTGTTGTTGTTGTTGTTGGTAGTGTTGATGGTGGTTATATTAGTGTTGTTGTTGTTGTTGGTGTGGTGTTGTTAGTGTTGTTGTTGGTGGTGGTGGTGGTGGTGTTGAGTGTTGTTGATGGTGGTGTTGAGTGTTGTTGTTGTTGGTGGTGGTGGTAGTGTTGTTGTTGTTGGTGGTTGTGTTGAGTGTTGTTGGCGATGGTGGTGGTGGTGGTGATAGTGTTGTTGTTCATGGTGGTGTGGTGGTGTTGGTGTTGTTGTTGTTGGTGGTTGTGTTGAGTGTTGTTGTTGGTTGGTGGTGGTGGTGCTGTTGGTGGTGTTGTGTTGAGTGTTGTTGTTGGTGGTTGTGTTGAGTGTTGTTGTTGTTGGTGGTTGTGGTAGTGTTGTTGTTGTTGGTGGTGGTAGTGTTGTTGGTGGTGGTGAGTGTTGTTGTTGGTGTTGGTTGGTTGTTAGTGTTGTTGTTGTTGGTGGTTGTGGTGGTTGTGTTGTTGTTGGTGGTGGGTTGAGTGTTGTTGTTGTTGGTGGTGTTGGTGTTGTTGTTGTTGGTGGTTGTGTTGTTGTTGGTGGGTTAGTGTTGTTGTTGGTGGTGGTGGTGGATTGATGTTGTTGTTGTTGGTGGTGTTGTGTTGTTGTTGTTGTTGGTGTGTTGGATGTGTTGTTGTTGGTGGTGGTGTGGTGTTGGTGGTGGTGTGGTTGGTCTGTTGTTGGTGGTGGTTGTGTTGGTGTTGTTGTTGGTGGTGGTGTTGGTGTTGTTGTTGTTGTTGTTGGTGGTGGTGTTGAGTGTTGTTTGTTGGTGGTGTTGTGTTAGTGTTGTTGTTGGTGGTGGTTGTGTTGTTGTTGGTGGTGGAGTTAGTGTTGTTGTTGGTGCTGGTGAGTGTTGTTGGTGGTTGTGGTGGTTGGTTGGTGTTGTTGTTGTTGGTGGTGGGTGGTGTTGGAGGTTGTTGTTGGTGGTGGTGGTTGGGTTGTTGTTGTTGGTGGTGGTTGTGTTTTGTGGGGTGTTGGTGGTGGTAGTGGAGTTGTTAGTGTTGTTGGTGGAGGTGTTGAGTGTTGTTGGTGGTGGTGTTAGTTGCTGTGTTGGTGGTGGTGGTTGTTGGTGTTGGTTGGTGTTGAGTGTTGTTGTTGTTGGTGGTGGTGTTGTTGTTGTTTGTTGGTGGTGGTTGTGTTGTTGTTGTTGGTGGTGTTGGTGGTGGTGAGTGGTGTTTGGATTGGTATGTTGTTGGTGGTTGTGGAGTGTTGTTGTGGTGGTGTTGAGTGTTGTTGGTGGTGTTAGTGTTGTTGGTGGTGGTGTTGTTTTGTTTGAGTGTTGTTGTTGTTGGTGGTTGTGGTGGTGTTGTTGTTGGTTGGTTTGGTGAGTGTTGTTGTTGGTGGTGGTGTTGTGAGTGTTGTTGTTGGTGGTGCTGAGTGTTGTTGTTGGTGGTGTTGAGTGTTGTTGTTGTGGTGGTGGTGTTGATTGTTGTTGTTGTTGTTGGTGGTGAGTGTTGTTGTTGGTGGTTGGTGAGTGTTGTTGTTGGTGGTGAGTGTTGTTGTTGGTGGTGGTGTGTTGAGTTGAGTGTTGTTGTTGGTGTGGTGTGGTGGTGGTGCTGGATGTTGTTGTTGATTGTTGGTGTTTGATTGTTGGTGGTGTTGTGTGGTTAGTGTTGTTGTTGGTGGTTGTGTTGAGTGTTGTTGTTGGTGGTTGTGGTGAGTGTTTGTTGTTGGTGGTTGTGTTGATGTTGGTGGTGTTGGAGTGTTGTTGGTGGTGGTGTTGAATGTTGTTGTGGTTGTGGTGTTGTTGGTGGTTGTGTTGAAGTGTTGTTGTTGGTGGTTGTAGTGTTGTTGGTGGTTGTGGTGAGTGTTGTTGTTGTTGTTGGTGGTGGTAGTGTTGTTGTTGGTGGTGTTGAGTGTTGTTGGTGGTGGTGGTGGTGTTGGGTAGTGTTGTTGTTGTTGGTGGTAGTGAGTGTTGTTGTTGGTGGTGGTGTTAGTGTTGTTGTTGGTGGTGTTGAGTGTTGTGGTGATGTGTGGTGTTTGCAGTTGATGTTGTTGTTGTTGTTGTTGGTTGTGTTAGTGTTGGTGGTTGTGGTGGTGTTGTTGGTGGTTGTGTTGAGTGTTGTTGTTGTTGGTGGTGCTGAGTGTTGTTGGTGGTGGTGGTGAGTGTTGTTGTTGGTGTGGTGGTGAGTGTTTGTTGGTGGTAGTAGTGGTGTTGCAGTTGTGTTGTTGTTGGTGTTTAGTGGTAGTGTTGTTGTTGTTGGTGGTATGAATGTTGTTGTTTGGTGTTGAGTGTTGTTTGGTGGTGGTGATGGTGTGTTGCAGTTGGTATTTGTTGGTGAGGCGATGTTGTTGTTGTTGTGGTGGTGTTGTTGGTGGTGGTGGTGAAGAGTGTTGTTGTTGTTGGTGAAAGGTTGGTGTTGGTGGTGGTGGTGGGTTGAGTGTTGTTGTTGTTGGTGGTGGTGGTTGTTGTGTTGTTGTTGTTGGTGGTGGTGTTGAGTGTTGGCTGTTTGTTGTTGTTGTTGGTGGTGGTGGTGAGTGTTGTTGTTGGTGGTGATTGGTGCTGTAGGTTGGTGTGTTGTTGGTGGTGGTGGTTGTGTTGTTGGTGGTGTTGAATGTTGTTTGGTGGTGGTGTGAGTGGTTGTGTTGTTGTTGTGGTGGTGAGTGTTGTTGGTGGTGTTGAGTGTTGTTGTTGTTGGTGGTGGTGGTGGTGTTGGTGGTGGTGTTGATTGTTGTTGGTGTGGTGGTGTTGGAGTGTTGTTGTTGGTGGTTGGTGGTGTGTGTTGTTGTTGGTGGTGGTTTATTGTTGAATGTTGTTGTTGGTGTTAGAGTGGTGTTGTGTGTTGTTGGTGTGGTGGTGTGGTGTTGTTGTTGGTGGTGTGGTGTTGATTGTTGTTGGTGGTGGTGGTGTTGTTGTTGGTTGGTTGTGTTGGAGTGTTGGTGGTGTTGTGTGTTGTGGTGGTGAAGGTGTTGTTGTTGTTGGTGGTTGTGTTGAGTGTTGTTTGTTGTTGGTGGTGTGGTGGTGTTGTTGTTGTTGGTGGTGGTGTTGGAGTGTTGTTGTTGTTGGTGGTGGTGGTGTTGAGTGTTGTTGTTGTTGGTGGTGGTAGTGTTA